TGCCTCAAAATAAAATTTTCTGTTTTGTTTTGTTTAATTTTGGTGGTACCAGGGACTAAACCCAGGAGCATGTAACCAATGAGCCACATCCCCAGCCTTTTTTTTTTTTTTTTATATATACAGACAGGGTCTTGCTAAGTTGCTTAGGGCCTTGCTAAGTTGCTGAGGCTGGCTTTGAACTCACAATCCTCCTGCCTCTGCCTCCTGAGCCACTGGGATCACAGGCATGTGCCACCTGCCTGGCCAAAATAAAAGATTGAAAGGGTTGGGAATGAAATGAAGCTCTGCAGTAAAGTGCCCCTGGTTTCAATCCCCAGGATGGAGGGGGTGGGGGTGGGGGGGCAGTGTGTGGGGGATGATTTTTCAAAAGGGGTTATACAATTGATCACATTTACATGACTGCATTTTATCATATGCAAATTATACCTCAATAAAGATGATTTAATAAATGATAAAATTTGCAATATATGAGCCATAAAATCCCCTCCAACTGTAAAATTCCATTACTTTCTAAAATCCAGTGACTTGTCCCAGGTCGTAAACTATGCAAGACTATTGGCTTTGAGTTTACCATCACATCCAAACTACTAAGAAAACTTTATAAGTATGATGATTACATTTACACTTAAGTACCACTGAAGGTGAAAACACCTATAAACTGATAGTCTGTGATTAACGGCTTTTTGGGGGAGTTTACCAGGGACTGAACTCAGGGGCACTGGACCATTGAGCCACATCTCTAGCCCTATTTTGTATTTTATTGGAGACAGGGTAGGGTCTCACTGAGTGCCTATCTCTAATAAAATACAAAATAGTGCCTTGCTAAATTGCTGAGGCTGGCTTTGAACTCGAAATCCTCCTGCCTCAGCCTGCTAGCAATTAGCACTTTTAAACTACTATGTTTGTAATTTTTCAGGACAGACAATTATAAGAAAATGTTATCCCAGAGGCTTAGGTGGCTGAGGCTACAGGATCTAAAGTCAAAGCCAGCCTCAGCAATTAAGCAAGACCTTAAGTAACTTAGTGAGACCCTGTCTCTAAATAAAATATAAAAAGGGCTGGGGATGTGGCTCAGTGGTTGAGTGACCCTGGATTCAATCCCTGGTACTTTAAATAAATAAATAAATAAATAAATAAATAAATAAATAAATAAATAAATAAATAAAATGTTAGAGAACAATCTGCAATGAAATGGAAACATGGTCATAGCACATTTTTAGGTGAAAAAAAAAGCAGGTCACAAAACAGAGCGATTCAATTTTTATAAAAATGTATCTATTGAAGGAAAAGATGTTTTAGAAACAAAATTTTGAAGGCTACTAAACATTAGTTAATTGTGTCAGGAACAAAAAGCCTGTAATCTGTGATTTAGGAGGCTGAGGAAAGAGGATTCAAAGTTCAAGGCCAGCCTCAAGAACCCAGTATATCTCTGTGTCAAAATAGAAAATAAAAAGGACTGGGGATGTGGCTCAATCCAAAGTACCCAAAATAAAATAAAATTAGTTAACTCTGAAGGGTGGTTTATTTGTCTTCTCTTTCTTTTGTTAACTTGATTATTTTCAAACTTAAAAAAAAGGGAATAGAGCTGGGATATGGTTCAGTGGTACAACACTTATCTATCATGTACAAAGCCCTGGGTTCTACCCCTAACACCAATTTTAAAAAGTACACCAGTGTTACCTTAATGTTATTTATTTTGTAATAAAAGTAAGTTATAAGCCAGGCTCAGTGGCACAGTCCTGTAATCCCAATGTCTAGGGAGGCTGAGGCAGAAGGATTACAAATTGGAGGCCAGCCTCAGCAATTTAGTGAGACCCTCAATAACTTAGCAAGACCCTTTCTCTGTACAACCACAAGAATGGGATCATAATTAGAATAAGTTATACTCCATGTATGTATAAATGTCAAAATACACTCTAGTATCATGTGTATCTAAAAAGAACAAATAAAGAAGGGGGCGGTGGTGCACGCCTATAATTCCAGCAGCTCAGGAGGCTGAGACAGGAGGATTTTGAGTTCAAAGTCAGCCTCAGCGATGTGGAGGTGCTAAGCAACTCATTGAGACCCTGTCTCTAAATAAAATACAAAAAAGAGTTGGGGATATGGCTCAGTGGTCAAGTGTCCCTGAGTTCAATCCCCGGTACCAAAAAATAAATAAGTAAAATAAAAATAAAATAACAATAATGATAAAATGGAAGGGATACATCTCTGTTGTAAGCACCCCTGAATTCACCTCTGAGTTCAATTCTAGGTGAAAACAACGTTACAATGTTACAACTAGAGATCATGGTAACATAAGTGGGAAACTTACTAGTGGTCTAGGTCTCTGTAAGCTACAGGAGGCTTACAGACAAATTTAGAGGTCCTGAGAGTATTGGGCTAGGAGATGGGTTTGCCCAGCACAGCTGCTACCTGCTTCATAGGAAGCCTTCATTCTCACATCTGCCAAAATACATATTCAGCTCTTCTACCTGTACTATAAACAGTCCAATATTAAAAGCCAAAAACATTTTGTAGGGGCTGAAAAATGTAGCATTTGAAGATTAACTGATCCCAATTTTATTTAAATTTTTTACAAGTTTACACACTTACTACTAGACTGAAATAAAATATTACAGATTGAGGATGTAGCTCTGAAATAGAGCACTAGCGTATGAGAGGCCCTGGGTTCAATCCTCAGCACCACCAAAAGGAAAAAAAAAAAAAACAATCTGCCAAACTGACATGACATATCACTTGAAATGTATTAGATATCACTGGCTAATAGAATTATAGGTGACTTTTCCTTTTTCCCTACATATTATGTACATTTTTCAGTTTTTCTGCAGTAATTCATATCATTTATAGGCAGAAAAAAAGTGAGGTAAAACAATTTTTTTGGTTAATATCGCCAACTCTATTCCTTAGTGACCCTATAGTTAAATCCATTAACCGATGAGCATCTGTGACAGAAAAGCAGTAACAGCTGCACACAGACCCTGTACACATATATACAATTTATGTTCAAACACCCTGATTCCTGTGGGCTTCATCACAAAGCTTTAAACCCAAAGAGATTACCTCATGTGTTTTAGACTATAAACATGTCCATTCACAAAAATGTAGACTTTAAAAGGTAGAGAAAATATGACTTTTTTAATTTAAAAAATCTACCCACAATGCAAGAGAATTCATTTCAGATTATTCTGTACAAGGCTAAAAATGACAGAATAAATGAAGGAGAGTCTAAAGAGATTGGCATTCTCCCCTTATCTGTAAACTTGTATTTCTTCAAAAAATTCCAAGTTATGAAGGGGAGGACCCTATCAGGCTCTCACACAAACAGCAAACAAGCCATAGCAGAGCAATCATTTAAAGGATCACACTGATGACCTGACAGGCCTTAGGAATTGTGATCAATTGAAAAGATGGCAGAAAATTCCTCTATACAACATTTGTTGGCAAAAGCATCATCTTGGTTTCACATGGAAGAAATCAATAAAAATAACTTGAAATAATTTTCTTTCTTTGTGGGGAAAAAATTGCCATTCATTACAAGTGTTTTTCTTTGGGGGCATCAAATAAAACTATGAGGACCTTTAGGGATGCTGAATTTTCAGGAATCAGTGAAATTCTAAAAGTTATTTTTAAGAAAGAAATCTCTGAAAAAAAAGAAAGCTAATTGTCAATTATCAATAGAAAGATGCTACGATTTTTACCCTTGAAAATACCTAGTGACATATTTATACAACAAATGATTTGACACTACAAACTATACTGAAAGTCATCTGTCATTTAACCTGGAGGAAACACGGTCATATCCTTACCTAAAGACTGGTAGAGCTCTGTCATTTTGGGATGGTCCCAGCATGTTGTTTGGGTCTCGTGGCTAAAACACAAAATAAAAAGAATCACTTTAGAATTTATGATGGGCAGTAGGAAAAATGGGGGAGAGTGGCAGGGAACAAGATGTTTACTTTTGAATCATTTGGCATCTTTACTTCCAAGGACTTTCATAGAGTAGTGAAGACTATCTTGCAAACAGAAAGGCCTGTCGTCATTTTTTTAAAGGGAAAAGCAATATGAACATTATTTGGTTCCAGAATTTTTTTTGCACCCACAAATCGACTGCATTTCTGTTATAATAAATGGACCTTGTTATGTAATCAATAATCAAAGACGAGAATTTCTTCACCCATTCAATGTGGAATATACAGAAAGGACACTGACAATTGATTGCTATTCAACTCTGTCACAAGAGATACTGGACATTAGTTCCATGGCTATAAATCACTTCACTTCTCACTCGCTTTCACCACTGGGACCCTTCTCCATTACTCTTCCCTCTCCATATCCAGATCTCATATCTGTGACACTTGTATTCCATTTCAGCTTAAGGTATGGCCAGCGCCCGACTAATATATCATACCTTCCTTCTTCCCATTACTTTTAGAATGTCTTCTTAACTCAGTACTCTCTACACCACTTCACCTCTTCCTATATTTACTTTGGCCTGAATGAAGCATTCATAGTTCTCCATTTCTCGGGAGTGTGGTTGCCTGCTATCAGCTCCTTCCACAAAAGGAACAAAACACCTTTGTTCCTCATTCAATTACATGAATAAACCCAAGAGAGATAACTACATATACTTTTCCTTACTTTGGCCCATCTACATAAATCACCATAGCATCATATTTCCAGTTTCGGGGATTACATGATGGGCTATGATAACACAAAATGCAGTTTTGAACAATTTTTCAGTATGCAGAGCCTATTCATAATCTTTTAGGGGGAGGATAGGGAAAGGAGAAATTACTTTAATTGGGGTACTTCAAGGGCACCAGAAAGTATAGAGGCCTCACACAAAAAGAAGAATCTGGAGAGGGAGCAATGTCACAGGGACTCAGCACAGGTTTGGATTTTAGGGCTTTGCGCCCAACTGGTTGTGAAATTTGAGGCAAGGCTACTCACCAGAGAGAGTTAAAGAACTACTACGTGATATAGGAAATTGACTATCACATTTTGGTGCTCAATATGTGGTTGTTTTTGTTATTATGTGGCCTTCAAATTACTGTCCATTAAAAGCAAACCTTGTATTAGTTGATTACAATACAGATGTGAATCCAACTGCAGTAAGCCAGTCACCCTTCCTAGACAGCAAAACATAACACTCACTGGTAATACCTTTGTTTTAAAAAATAAAAAGTAGAAAACATAAAGGAGTTTCATAAAAATTATCGTAAATTGAACAATGACATATGGAAATTAACCAAACTGTACCACTTCAAAGGCCATCCCTATGATATTTACCATTCACTGCAGAGCAGAGAAGACTAGTGAAATCAATTTGCAAGAAAATGTTCACTTGTGATCCAGCTCCCTCATGTAATCCCAGGCTGAGGCAGGAGGATCACAAGTTCAAAGCCAGCCTCAGCAAAAGAATGAGGCTAAGAACTCAGTGCGACCCTGTCTCTAAATAAAATACAAAAAATAGGGGTGGGGATGTGGCTCAGTGGCCAAGTACCCCTGAGTTCAATCCCTGGTACCAAAAAAAGAAAAGAAAATGTTCACTTGGGAAGCGCTGTCTCGCTCTCTTCTAAATAAATATGTTCATTTCTGTTTTATTTTTCCACAGAGAAAATGTACATTTGAGGAATGTTAACAGGGGCTTATCAGTTGAGGGAATGTAACAGAGTGACATGGAAGTCTTAGGAGTAAGAAGAGCAGGAGATGCAGTCCATGCTTTAGGGAGTATTAGGAAACCCCATGACCAAGCCGGTTTCCGATTTGGAGAGGGGCAGGCAGGACTGGTACTTTACATGCACAGCACAAAGAGACCGCAGCTTGCAGCTTCATGGGAAAAGTGTTGCTTGTTCTTCGGCATTTTTTAGCTTACAGAGTGATGGGGTACCAATTTTGTACACAGGTGCACAGCAAGTAAAGGTTACCTTTTATTGAAACCACCCTGTACTTAGGTCTTCCCCATTTCCAAAGGTCATCCAAATATGAGCACCAGGGAGGGAAGAAGGGAAACACACCTGTGCCCACATGTGCAGGCCCTTGTTTGGCACAGTGCATAATGAAACAATATCCTATTTCTAGGATATTTGAGGGACTGTAGCATCTTCAATGGATCTGAAAAAAAACATTTGCCTAAGCTGATAAACCTGACCAGAGACAGAGAACCACCCTGAAAAGTCACCACCTAGAATATACTTCAAATCGGAGGAGCATGGCAAAGAAATTGACTTGTTCCAAATGCAACTTGTACCAAATGAGAAACGTGCATAAAATTTACAAGAGAATCACAGAGAGAGAGAGAGAGTTAATGAGAGCTTCATGCAGTACCCCCATCTGTGAGAAAAATTCTCATGACAATATACCTACATTACCACCTTTCAAATGAATTTATTTTGCAGGTTAAAAATTATGAAAAAGGTTTTAGAAATTATTTTTTGAATCCACAAGTCCTTACAAAACTGAAACATACTTTGCTGGAAGACATAAGAAATTGTCAGCTCCATATCCCATCCCTTATTTGTGTGTGGCAACCATAGTCCTTGATAGGTACTATTCTACAAATTACCTGTGATTTTGATTTTAGAAAACATGAATAACACGGATAAGTGAACTCCTTAAATAATTCCAAAACCAACCTTTTTAAAATTTTTTTTACCTTCCTCTCCTCCAACACACACACCCTTTATTTTTAAGCAATGCAAAGTAACCAGAAAAACAGATTTAGATTTCACCTTTGCAGTCTTAGTTTCACTTCATCTGCAAACCAGTACTAAAAGAAAGAAGTGAGCACAAGCAAAAAGAAGAAAAGAAGAAAGGGTGTGACTAATCCTCAAAACTAGAAAAATAATCTTTTAATCAGTTAATGCTAAAAATGCTTGGCAGCACAGCTGAAAGGACTTCAAATTTTTGAGCAAGTACATGATAAACCAAATATTCACTTTACTGTATGTGGGTGTTTTCTACCTGTGGTGAACACAAGGTCCTACTGGGACATATTTAACACCCTCAAATAGACAGGAAAGATGGATATGGATCCCATGAAATGATAAACACAAATCTACGTAACTCACATCTATATTCTACCTTTTAGAACAAACTGATTTTTTTTTTTTTTTGCCTGTGATCAATACGGTTTTACAGCTGTATTTCTTACTCTGTGCCTGTCTTCAAAAACAAGAGAATTCTCAATAACTCCATGACAGACAGCTCACATTTATCTGGAACTCGCAGGCAATATAGAAAAAATATGCCCTGCACTTCACTTTCCACTTTAGAAATACACTCCACAAATACCACGTCCAATCAAAAAGGAAAATCTGAAACCTATTCATACATTAATGGGTACATCTTTGCTCAGCCTTCCAGAGAACAATGATGTTCAACATAGATCACAAATCTGTATGTACATTAACACAGAGATTGCCTTCATAAATAATCCTTAAAACACTCTTCAAATCTTTACAAAATTCTATTCATTTTGGCCCTGCTGGTCCCAAAGCGTGGCATCAGATATACCTCTCTGAGCAGTCTTCATGCTAAGATTCCCCACACACACACTATTTTTTTATTTGTACAAAACACAATTACCTCTCTTTTTTTCATTTTATCTGAGGCTATGATAGGAACCTAATGCAAATTAAAAATATAAAATAATTGGCTATGACAAAAGACCCCAGCAACACCTATTTGTCAATAATAAGAAATTAAAGCATTACTCTACTGAGCACAGGGCTGACCTAATTTCCTACCATACAATTTAAATTTTCTCTCACCTTCTTTAGTTTCAAGTAGTGTGCAAGGTTATTATAACCACCTCAGAGCTGTTCCTGCTGTCAGTGCTGGAATAATCAGACTTATTGGAAGAGCGTTTTTAGTTTCTTAAAAACAAACATTAAACACTTATAAAAAGTAACAAATATCTACTGCTCTCACTGGGGAAATGGCAGTTGCCTAATTAAAATAAGATTTCTTCTGCCACCACTGTTATTTGGTACTGAAAATATTCTGAACAGTTGCCTTTAAAAAAATATATCTTTCCACTACTTCCCAGGGAGGAAACTAATCACTATGCTGTGATATGAAAAGGTAGAGTTCTCTTGTGATTTGCAGAGGATTAGTTTGGCTTCATATATAATCTGGAGCCCATTGATCCACACACACAAATGATTTCCCTTTAATCTGGGGATCAGACTCTTTTTCTAGAGGAACCTTGGCATCTGCATGCTGAATTGTTGAACTTGGCTTGCGCTGCTGGAATATTGGCAGGGTGGGGATGGGAGAATATACTTAAAAGTTTCTGCTACTGTGGGGAAGGGGCTTAGAAGGATGGGTGTCAATCTAAGCATCACAAATCCTATTCTACTTCCTATTTCATGTTCCCTGGATATTTAACATTTTTATTCTGTTTGGCTCAATCCAGGGCAAAGATGATTGCCTCAGTGGCTGTTCCAGCTGTTACTTGTTCTCCGTCTATTTGCTTTTCAAGGTTTGCCTCCCACCCACCCTCAACTTTGGCCAAAGCAATTTCACTTCAGGGTCGTGTCCAATCCAAGATCAAACAATGATGACTGAAACCAATTCCACGGTGATCAAGGGTCGGAGACCTTTCATATAAGCGTGTTGTTTCATTAGCTCCTCTCACTTCTCTTGGAACAACTGTCTTCTCCAAAGAGGTGCTGTGGAACAAGGAAATTACAAAATCTAGGCAGAAAAAGAAAGCGTGATGGGGGGCGGGGGTAGACGACAAGAAGAGATGACAGGTATAATGAACCAGAGGGACCAAGAAGAGCTTATTGGCCACGGAAGAATATAGATTTTTCACTTCAAGACTCGGCTTGCCACTTAAAGCGGATGGATTTTTTTTTTCAT